CCCCCCCCCCCCCCCCCCCCCCCCGTCTCACGCCTGTCTGTTTGCATGAGTAAGGGCAGGAGGAAAGGAGATTAACGAAGTACGTGGGTTTTTGAGTGTGCACGCAGCTGCCAGTGCGTGTTTTCCGAAAACCGTTAATAAACAGAAAACAAATGACACTAGTGAGATCAATACGCTAAAGAGCGATTTCCAATGGCAGCCCCACACCCCCACCCACCATGACACGGTCACTCACTGCGCACCAGCGTTTGTGCCCAAATGCCGAAATGCGTGGTCAAAAATTGAGCGCCGGGACTTACCGCAGTAGAGAACCAGCAGCGCTGTCAGAAGCACCACAGCCCAGAAAGTTGACGACATTCTCGGCCAGCGACTGGTATCTTTGCGTCTTGCCACCCTCGACACTGAAGCCATTGAACAAACGGAGCACTTCCTCTTTGAGGAGACGAATAAAAGCAAAGACGGTAAACTCACAATCCAGCTCGGCCTCTCACAATGCTCATATCTCCGCGTGTAATCCCACAAAAAGACATGTCAAGATGGAGCAACTGATGGAAAAGCAGTGGTTTGCTCCTTAGCTAGTCAGATTGCCGGTGCGCAAAGGAAAAGGTCACATCTTCCTTCGGAATCCCAGTTAAGAAATAAACGTAGTGTTTTTTTTTTTTTATTCTATTTGTGCAGAAACACAAGTTGGTAAGCGTCCCTTTCAGTCTTTCCAAAGTGTGTGAACCTCAATTTTAGTCCTATATTTGAGTAAAAGGAAGCGCGCCGCGCTGCTGCCTGAAGATTGCGTTGAGTTAATTCTCAAAGTGTTCAATCACCTATACCGCAGCGTCGTAAAAACCTCCTTTCACCTGTGGTAGGTTTTCCTCGTTTCTATCGAGCCTCACCAGCCCCGACGGCATAGCCCAAAGACCGGGTTGAAAAATGAACGCGGTGCTGTAAAATCCGCTGAATGAACGTCTGGATGGATGAAGGAGGGTTGATCGCAAAAGGAGGAAAAAGTCATTTATGCTCGCGGTTTTGGAACGAAGTAGATGAGGATCCCAGCATGCTTGCAGGAGCGAACGGAGGATGGAGAATGAACAGACAGACTGTGGGAGAAAGGAGCGGGAGGAAAAGTGCGCACAGTGCGACTCCAAGTGATTTTTTTTTTTCCAAATTGAAACATTCAAACAATCGATATTACGTCAGCAATAAGCCACTTGAGGTCGCAATTTATAGTGATATCACAACAACTCGTTGCTGTACACGAAATAAATTGTCTTACATCATAAAAGCAGTGTCAATCATGGCTTAATATTGTTTTTACTGATTTGATATGGTGTATGTTTGATTTTTGAATCGATATTGACAGTGATATTCAAACACGGGACATTCTTCAATTAGAAACACATTATTCACACAGTGTACAAAGCTATTTCATTTTCGTCTATATTTTTTGCTATTGCTGCGATATTAAAATTACTCTGTAAAAAGTGTCATTGAGGAAAAAATGGTTCGAGGTGCTTTTACTTTACTTATGTACTTACATGTTGCCACTATATGTTCCTTCTCTACTGCATTCACCAGAGGGAAATACTCACTTCTATACATTTATAAACTTCTATACATGATGATGAAGAGATAAACATGATTCCAAATTAACTCTAATGTTGTTCCGTAACTGCTAGATGTGTATATAAGCTGCTTGTTAACTAGTACTGTCAATTGTACTTTTGGATACTTTTTCCTCCAACGCTTCAGGACCATGAACAGCGCCACCACCTGTGCCTCAGTGTTATGGACAGTTGTATTGGCAGCACATTGGAGAGTTGGTAGCAAGGACATCGCTCAGGATTAACAGCCCAAAGGACAGCGCAGTGGAGCAACTGGGCTTTCAGCACCACGCACAGCGCCACTTACAACCCATGTGAACAGTACAAAGGGGAGTTGGTACCATGGACAGCGCTACTGACTTAGCCCAATGAACAGTGCAGTGGAGCGGTGCGCTTTGAGCACCACGGACAGCGCCAGTTACATCCCATGCGGACAGCACAATGGAGAGTTGGTACAATGGACAACACCAGCTCAACCCCATCGCAATGGAGTTTCAGCACCACAGACAGCTCCAGTGCCTGAACCTGAACCTCAGCACCACGGACAGCGCCACTGAGCGCTCAACACTCATGTCAAGCTGGAGCTGGTTCTGTCCGTTGGCAGTGAGGCTCTGGAGGCCTCTGTGCATTCACCTCAACACCCCCGTGTCATGCATACTAATTCTAAGCCTCTGCCCTCACCAGCTTGGGGCGAATATACGCATGAATAACTCAATATTCGAACCAAAAATGTAACTTCTATTTCGGAGCTAATCAAGATGGTCTTTCAGCTCGGCTATTATTTCCAACAAGTTCCTTTATAGAGACTCCAGGTTCCCCCTGCTTAGACTTGCTGTAGCAATGTGCATTAGACTGGAGCTCTTATAAACCAGACTGTAAACCACTGGGTGGAGTAATATAATGAATTGCTGTATGTGTCCTTATCAGTCCCTGTAAACTTCTAAATCTGTATGTTATTGCTCTAATCAGTAACTTTTGTTCGTATCAATGTGAAAAGTGGACATATTTACCCCCCCAAATCATCTGTGCCTTGTCCCCCCTGCCATCTCTCTTCCTGTCTTCTCTCCATTTCCTTGCTGCAGTGCTGATCAATATAGACTGTCAATTACAGCCCTGGTGGGAAAGCACTGGCATGGTGCCTCCTACGTGGTGGTGTGTCAGTGACTGTGGCACTAACTGTACAGCGAGGCCAAAGCCTTCTTGGCGGGCGGGCGGACGGGCGGGTGGGCACGCGCACACACAACTACACAACATTCTTTTAATGCAAATTGTGCAATTAAGCACATATGCATCCGTTTCCTCCGTCTCTCTGTTTTTCTCTCACACACACATTCACACCAGAAAAAGCAGCCATTTGCTATCAGCTTGGAGATAATGCATGAGCTGTGGCCTACATATGTTATCCCCCTCCTTCACTTTTACATAACCTTTCTCAAACTCCAAACAGAATGAAGCACACAAGGCATGAAAACAATGACTTGGATATTGCTATTTCGGAGTAGGTTACCCCCTCCCCTTCTGAGGCTTCAAAGTTGAACAAAAAGATAGTGGATGACTCAGTGTTTTAGCTGTGAACCATGATAAAATATTATCTTATTCCCTCTCTACATGGATCGACATTGTGGTGCGGGTTCTCCTGAATTTCTGTGTTCACTGGTGCTTAGCGTTGAGGTCTGGCTTCTGTTGGAGTTCAAATGGATTTGTAAAATATCTGTGCAGTTTAAATGGTGTTTTAAAATGTATATGAGGCTGCCAAGTGCAAGAGCTCTGAAAAATAAAATAAAAATATTCCTTTGGTAGAGATATGATCCACCAAATTAGCAGCAAGCTCTGTAGATGAGACTAGAAAAAAAAGCCCTGCTTCCAATCTTATGTAAAGCTAAGTTAACCAGCTGTGGGCTGAACAAATACAAAACTCTTATTTTTCACTGTATCTCTTTATTTATTTTGCATATCAGGGTTATCTTATTTTGATGTCACCATGTATTTATGTCTGGTGTTTGATTGGTCACTGTTGTCAGTCCAACAGGTTGGCTACATAGGAGCAAATCTCATGATACTCCTGCTTCCCAGACGATGAAAAACCTAATTATTATGATCACCTCCTGAACTTCACTCTAGCACTCTGAAACTCTGAAAAGTGAAATAGGGAGATAATGCCACAATTAAATAAAAACAGACTTTGAAAGTGCATTTCATTTTGGGGTTTATTTATTTATTTTAAACAATGTATTCATACATTCATTATATTACTTATTTCATAATGTATTCTTTATCTATTTAATATTGGACACTTCGGGTCTTCACTATTGTTTTAATGCCTCTCCCATCGATAAGCCTCCTGCTGCAGCTCTGTGACTGATTATTGGCAGTAGCCAACAATACGTTTTATTGATTTTGCATGAATTTTACAAGTCAGTGGAACCTTAATAAGGCAAAGGTTAGGAGCAGGAAGAACTTTACACAGTTGTATAGTGTACCGTTGTAGCAACACAGCAGGAAACTAACTGATTTCGGCATTACAGCACTCATTTCATATAAACACTCAGGAAGCAAGTCAACCACAGGATTTATGTAACAAATGCTTTAGCTCCCTTACAAACACTTTGCTTAGGGAATCTTAAAAGTACACACTGGGTGATTACTGTGAGCCTAACAACCTGTGTCCCTATAACTGACAACTTTAGAGGCATACACTTAAAATCCTGTCACAGGATTTCCGAGGCGTTACTCAAGACAGCATATCTGCTCATATAACTCGAATTAAAATAGTGTATGACTATGAGCAGCAGGATGGCTTAGTCAGGGTGTCCAGTATCTACAAGGTCACATGTTCAAACAAGGTAAATCCATGAGGTCTTAATTAGGTGAGACAGGATGCTTTTCACTGAGGCATCATTTGGCCTTTAGGCTGATGTATATTTTGACATAGTAGATGATTTATGGATTCTTATCAAGAGGCAATTTGGCTCCAAGACACTGCTGTTTTCCTTTCATTTTGTACAATAATGAATTAGGCCCCAACATGCAAAATAACATATTAGGTATCGGCAGTCATGTCAGTGGGGAGCTTGAGCAGCACTGAGCTTCTCAGTGTGGGAGCGTCTGAGACCTGACCTTTCTCTGTGCGTCTTCCCTTTGATCCGTCGAGACACAAGCTACTTCCTCTTTATTGGGCCACGAGGAGGGCTTTTGAACGTAGCTTGCCACTCAGGGATTTAAGTGAACAGAGTGTTCTTATGGTACCACAGCAAAGCTCCCTCTTACTGTCATGGATTTAAGAGAAAGGGAGGAAACCGAGAAGCCTTTTCAGCTCTCTGAATATCAGTCAGTTGCTTGCCACTGAGAGGAAGGACTACGGACATCTCTGTCTTATTGCTGGAGCTGAATAGAGTCAGAAGTTAATTGCTGTGCTGATAACATTATAGTAACATTTCTCATTCTGGCCCTCAGCAATGACAATATCTTCTAATTTTGGCTTTCATTGAAAACAATATCAATGTGGTACAAACGGTTTGGAATACAGATACATATAAAATGTCCTCGGCTTTTTTGACTATAGCTGACATTGTTTGTTCAAATGTGAAAAGTGAAATCACGTATGACAATGCCAAGCATTGCCTTCCATTAACAATGCATTTTCTTTCAACAGCCACGGTAGCGGCCAAATAAGGCTTTACTTATGCACAGCAGCTCTTTGAGCAAACTGCTAACATCAGCATGCTTACATGCTCACAACAGCGTGCTGCAGGCATGACGTGATTTTGTGGACCAACCCTGGAAGTTAGCGTCACACTAGCTCCCTGAAGAGTCAATGCAATCGACAGAAGTAAAAAGCTAAATTCAGGCTGTAAACAAACTACTGTACACGGTCGCATGAGTTGTGAAGGTGGACTATTTGGCATGACGAAGACCGCCTTTTAAACTGCAACTTAAAAGCTTAAAAATTCCCGAGAGGGGTATTTACTGACGTATTTTATGTCAAAGTACAAACCATTAAAATCTCTTAAGCTTGTGTTGACCACAGACCTCATTTGAGGCAACAGAAGAAAAAAAAACAACATTCAAAAAACCCATTGATTTAGAGATGAGGGAGCTGGAAATGGAAAAATGCTGACTTATTTCTCGGTTTAAGGACTAATTCCTGCAGCACTCTGGGACAATGCCAGCATGCCAATGTTTATATGCTGCATTCATGTTATGTGGGCAGAATGGGAGAACGAGAAAACTGCCAGTAACCGACTTGGAAGTTCATGCATTCACACATTATTCTGAGATAGTTAGCCCCCCGTCTAGCCTCGTAGCAATCTAAATAGTTTCTGCAACGGGGAGACTTGGGCACCGCAAGCTTTCTGGTTTCCGTTTGTATAGTCGGAGTAGTATTGACCAATCACGTTAGAGCAGGCTTTGGTTAAATGCAGGTAAACAGTCTATCTTGAACGCATTGGCCTAAATGCAATCTCGGAACTCACCGGCTATTATCTAACAATGATTTCGATTTCATGGGGGGGGTTTCAAATTAGAGTGTAAACCGGTT